ATGATTAATAATAATTTAAATTTTAGAATAAAGTAAGGATTTAGATATTTAAATTTACGTCCGTGTTACATAGGGATTAAAACATTTGAATTTAACTAACATATAAATATTGGATAAGTTCAATTAAATTTATCAAAGAATAAGATAATTCAACAACCCTAAAAATAACACATATCAGAATATTAAACCTTTTCGAATATCTCAACTAGCGAATAGGTATATATAAATAGAAATAGATAGATTACTTGGAGTGTGTTTGATAAAACTGAAATCTGAAATATGAATCTATTAAGTTATTGAATTGTTAAATAGTAAATGTAATACATTTGAGTGTATATCACATCCAATAATAAGTAAATAGTTTATCGCTTAATTTTGAGAGTAAATTTTGTCTAAAAAATTCAGTGCCACTTAATTAATTCAGATGTTCAATTTTTGGTTATCAAACATATCTAAATATATTAAAATCTGAATTCATTAAATTTAAGTGCTGAATTGAGTTATCAAACAAAACCTTAATAATATTTGTGTCCAAAAACTCATTACTAACACATCCAATTTCATATATATTAATCTCCCAACGTGAACTGTTGGGAGAGAAAGAGCAAGAAAAGAGGAAAGAGAAAAATATCTGGTCAGGATCTGGTCAATCAAACACATTCTCTAGGCCCAATCATCAATGTCAAAAAGATTTTTTGTGCTCCCACCTCATTATATTTTCCATTAACAGGTCCCAAGAATCCACGACTGTTTAACATTTGAAGTGAAGAATTTGTAAACAATTATGTGGTCATTTGCTTCTCATTTCATGACTGTATTACCGGATATTGGACAATCAAATACTAGTTGTTAGCTGTTGTTACTTTTAATTTCATGCCAGGAATTGTTAAATTCAAGTTTGCAAGGCATTGTGTGGCTTAAATGTTGATTAGGAGCCGATTAAATGAAGCTGATTATGTTTAGGACTGCCAGAAATTTTCAAACTCAATTCGAACTGCTCGAGTTGTTGTCGAAAACTCAAATCTTGTCAAACTTTGACGAGTCGAATTCGAGTATGATTGTTCCTAATTCGAGTCGAGTTCGAGTAGTATTTTCTTGAATCGTTGAGATTGAATTCGACTACAAAGTGATCGATCATAATTCGATAAGTTTCATGTACGATGGACTTGTTTGTACCTCCAAACACTTTTCAAGAATATAATAATTTGAAATATAATGTAGTTCTTTCTAGTCGGCACGAAAGCATACATGTGATTATTATTCTTGTATTGGTAAGAAAGCGGGACATATTACTTCTTCACCTGCCTTAATTACATTGGCTAGACTAACAGATACAAATATTGTTAATCTTCCCCTTCGCAGGTTTCAATCTTTCTTTGGTTCTGTCAAATCTATAACATTGGACTCTTCCCTGATTCATCTTATTGGTAGGCAATTAGGCCAAAAATTAATCTTTATTCAAAAGTAGTTTGACATAACTTTTTTTTTTATGGGACATCTGTAATATTTGCCAATAATATAATGCTAAAGATTTAGGCTCTTAAGCCACTTTGTGCAATTCAAATCTGCTCAAGATTCAAAGTAGTCTTCAAAGGTCCAACATCTGATTTTCTGGTGACCCTTAAGTTTGCACTTTTGGGACAACTGGCCTTCCCCGTTGTCATTCCTTCAAAAATATCTGGTAATTTTTTTGTATTCTTTATTTTCTATTTTGCATGTTTATGGACTCTAAATGTGACATGTAGCCATTGTTAGGTTGCCAGGGAACCATTTGATGGTTTTACTTTTTTTTTTTTTTTTAATAACTTTAAACTTCATATTTTAATAGTGTGTTTCATCATTTATGTGGATGATGTGTTGGAAATTGTGTAAAAAAATAAAATATTTGGTGGATTATCATTAGGCTACGTGTTCAGTTTGAGACAAGCCACTTTCATAGGCTAAGAACCATAAGATATTCCAGTAACGTGGCTTCATATTCACCTGACACGGATCTCAGATAGCTTACCTAACATACGGTTGTTCAATCCGGGCACGTCGGCTTGTTTGATCGGCTCGGCTCTCCTTTGTGTTAAGCATTTAGCTCAACCATTTAGCTTAGCATTTTTTACGTAGTTCAAAATTTCAAATGAACCAATTAGCTTAAGGCATTAGATTGCGAGTTTTGCATGAAAAAATTTTAGAATAATTTGTTGATGTATTTTTTAAATTACAATTAATTGTTGATACAATTACAATGCACTTTTCTAAAAAGAAAATTTCAAAAATTCCAATATAAATGGGCTTAGTTTTGCTATCAATAGATTAATATATTTGAATGTTACCAAAAAAATTATGAAATATGAAATAAATGCTATTGACTGTTGAGTCCACTGGAGCTATAATTTTTGAATTTATAATTTTCATAAACTGGACATTATGTCACCGTTTTAGAACAAGAGAACTTCAAGTAAAAAAACTAATAATTAAGTGAAGCAAACAAAAGCAAGTTTAACTAATGGATTCGTAATGATCATATTTCTCCAAGCTTCTTTGTTGTACTAAACAAAACAACGTGTAAGTTTCTAATTTGTTAATAATCATCTTAGTTGATTTTAGACTATTTTTCCACGAGGGATCGTCATGTTTTTCTACAAAATCGCGAGTCTCTTTATTAGCTCCTATTTGTGGTGTACAATTTCCTAGAATGTAAGTAATGATTATGATCGATTCGATAGAAAGAAAGGCATAGTGTGTCTTTTTCACTAGAAAAAATCGATGCATATTCCTCCATTCCTTATAAAAGATGGGGATAATTTTAGAAACCTCTCCCGAGGTTTCTGACAATTTTATTGAGCTCCCCTGAGTTTTGAAAAATTACACATACCTCCGTTGTCATTTACAATGACAATTTTACCCTTAAATATTTTAATGAAATTCTCATATTTGGTATATTTATATTTAGAATGAGTTTTAAAATTATTTTTTTATTCTTTTTCCTTCTTATTCCTTTTTTAAAATTTTTCACCAATAAAACTGTAGAACGACCACTATTGTCTCTAGGTTTCCATTATAATCAAATGTTGAACTAGTGATTTTTTTTGACGAGTTAATTTTATATGTAATCCAATGTTTTTACTGATCTTTGTTTCCTTTTTTTTGTTATTAAAATTAACAATAAATCAAAAAAAATGGCCCAAAAGCACTACTAAATTATGATAATCCCACTACTCCAAAAATTTATAAACTCTAAATGAATTATTTCAACATTTTCTTTTTTATCTTATAAATATAAATCCATAATAAAATACCATTAAAAATATCATATCATAGTAATAAAATTATTATTATAGTTGTTTATCAAATGGTAGATATGGACATGAAAAATTTAGCACCTTTTCCTTATAATTATACTAAATAATCTTATAATTTTATAGGAAAATAAATTAAAACTCATTCCACAAGAGTATTTTTGGGTATTCATTTAAAAAATTGTCCAAGTCAATATTATTTTAAGGTTTTGTTACTAAAATTATTAAAATCAAAGGAGATAAGTATAATATTTCAAATCTTAGAGGAGCTCAGTGAAATGGTCAGAAACCTTAGGGAAGGTTTCCGAAATTATCCCTAAAGATATCTGGTCCATTAGAATAGATATTATCTGAAATATTAAGCATATTTGTTGATCCTAGGTTATAGATGTCAAAAGATAAGCATGACATCACATTCTTCTAACAATGTTAAAAGAGTTATAAATTTTTTTTCTTACAATTTGAATATAATTTAATGTTTGAAATGAAATATTGAAGAATATTAATTCACTAAAAAGCAAAGTATAGTTTACATATATTGCAGCAATCATTAGCTCAATATCTTTGCAAGACTATTGCCATCTTAATATTTAACAAATTTAACTCTATTAATTTGGATGTACATAATGGATACCTTTGTTTCAAAAAATTCAACTTCAAATGCTAGATAAATAAGAAAATTTATGTGGAGTGGTTCCTTTTAAACTATAAAACATTTTTAGATTTATATCATATCTCAATGTTGCTCCTTGGATATTTTGATTTTTTTAATGTAAATAGGAGATTTTGAATTCAAAATCTCTCCTTCGTATCACGTAACCTATCCCTCCCCCCAAACCAAAAAAAAAATTGATGTTTAAATGATGAAATTCTCCAAAAAGAAAAAAAGGAAAAAGCCCACCCAAGAAGTACGAGATTAAAATTAGGAAATATCTCAAGCTGATGATTCTTGGCTCAACAGCTAATTAAGAGCTTGGCTCAACTAATGGTAGTTTATGGAGAGTAACCTGTTTGCCAACTCTAACTGTAGTTGTCCCCAACGGCAATATCAAGATTTGGAAAATTTGTTTTTTTATTCTAAGAATTTTTTAACAGGTACCCACACCTATATTTCATTCAATCTATCATATATATATATATATATATATATATATATATATATACACATACACTAATAATTACAATTTTCTCTTACATTTATATATTTTTTTATTAATCCACACGTGCTCACAGGATACCCGTTAAATAAATCATTTTTCTGAATATTATTTTACTTATATAATAAATATAATTTTCAACTATTTTCTTATAATCACAACATTGTTTCTTATTATATTTTTTGTCTCACATTCATCAAATCACAAAAGTATTTGATAGCTTTGGGGCACATTCAATTAATCCTAATCCAAGAAAAGAAAAAAAATGGAAAAAAAAAATCTTCCAGAAGAGTTGGGACTTAATCAAGATCTAGTAGTCCTGACACGTTATTCTGGTGAATGATGTATTACCACTTTAAACCACCTTTGCTCTTACCAAAATATCTTCAGGTATGAACTTCCAGACAAATTTAGATCATTAATACTCTAATTTTTTTGGTTAAATTAGTCCAGACTATTAACCCCACCAATCATGGGCACATCCCATCTCCTCTAATCACACCCTATATAAATCCCACTTTCTCCTGCCTCCAGATATTTTCCAGGCCCCCACCAATCCCTGCTATTCTCCTCATCTCACACACCTTTCTCTTTCAACATCAACTTTTAGGTATTCATATTCCCTGTCTCTCCTCGAGAAACACTCCAGCCCAGAACAATTATATCGCCTTTCATTCATCTCTGATCTCTTCAGAGTCCAAACTCAAACTCCTCCTTTTCTGGATTCTTGATTAGCAGTCTTTGACAGTTTAAAGGCATACTTCATATCTTCAAATCGCTCCATAAATTGCATGTCTTTGATGCCTTTTGCTGAGGTGAAACCCCATATGGCCTTCCATGTTTATGGATTATTTCTACTTGTATGACCTTTCTGGGAAGCCAACTGGAGTTTTAAACTTTATCCGAAAGGAAGTTTGCATTTTGGGTGTGGGTCTGTGGGAAGGGCCGTTATGGTTGTTTAGGAATAAAATACAGTGCAAGTTGTCCATGAGAATCTTTTTCTTTTCCCTTCTAATTTATATTTCCATTTCTTTGATGTTTTCTTTCGGAAAATTCCTTGCAGATCAGGAGATGCTAAAAACCATTGATAAAAATTCAATCTTGGTCATTCTATGCACGGATTCTTTTTATTTTCAGCCTCAGGTATGTTTACCGATTATTGCCCATAATTCTACTACAACATTTCGTGTATGAAACTTTAGCTTGATCACTGATTAAAAAGCCTTTTTTTATCATCTTTTTAGCAATCAAGTGAGTTGATTAGTGTCAATTCTTGCTTGCTTATCACTGTGGCTGTCGTACTAGTAATTAATACCACGGCCTGTTTAGCATTCTTGGTTAAATCTACGATGACCTCATGTTTGTTATTGCATGGATACCCTTTTTCCTTATTTTGTTTTTTATTGTTGTTTCTTTTGCTGGACGGTATTTGATGTCTTGGCCGTTTTACTGATAATTGCATCATGTTCTATTTGGTATTTTTTGTTTAGTTCGTGCGGCTCAGGATGTACATGTTTTAACTTTTCATTTCTTGCATCAAGCTGTCAACATATGTAACATGTATTGTGCCATTTCAAGTTGTTGTTTTGTGCTTATATTATCGATAACATCCAGCTACCGACAACTCTTTTTAGTTTTTTACCCCCTTATTTACTTTTATCTCAGGTACTCAAATTGATAGTAAAGCCATACATCCATTTCCTTTCCTTCGCTAGAGGCTTTCGTGGTTTTGATATTTTTTTCTGGTTGTTACTGGTCTCCCCACCTCGCCTACCACCTGTACATGAATTATTGTTCAAGTCTACTTTTCAAGTGATACACATATTATAGTCCAAGATTTATTCATCACCGTCTTCCTTATATTTCCTTAAACACATATTACAGTCCATGAATTAGTCATCACCTGTTTCCTTCAAATTCCCATTTAAATCAATCCTTCTTCAATAGAGTATTCAAATCTTCTCTTTTGTATTTTGAACCTCTTCTTTTTCTTGTTGGATGGCAGTATAATTAGATCTCTTATCTTTGTAATTGAATCTTATTCAGAACCCATCTTCTTTTGATAAGCCCTTGATATATGTTAGAACCATTAGATAGTCATGCTTGAATAATTTTGCAGATAATTTCGAGGTTGTAATTCCACGGGCATTGCAACTTATCCAAAATGTTATTCGGAGGTTAAGTTTTCCAAGAATAGCGCACTTGAAAATTGTTGAAAATGAATCTTAAAAAGTTAGCAGAATTTTTATGTAAAAATGAATGCATAAATTGAGCAAATTGTTGTTTATACACCCAACTCTTGCCTAAATGTAGTTATTAGTACCGTTTGGACATGTTAACACATTATAGCCTAACTAATCCAAATCCACATGCGAATTGTCAAGCACTGACATGACATAGATATAAGTATAGCTATGGATTCATCTAACTTTAAGAATGAATTTTTCTTGTTTACATTGTTTTGCAAACAAAGTTGCTTATAAGAGATTCAGTAGGTGCACTCATCGACAATAAGTTTAGTTTTTTTTTTTTTTTTTAATTTTTTTCTGAATGTTGTAATTTAGGTCCTTGCAACTTTTTTTTATACAAAAGGTAGCACTGCCTTAAAATGTTTCTGATTGATTTCTCTATCTCAAATACAATGTTTTCTTTTGATTTTGGAATTTGAATAACTTTTAAGGTGAGTTGAATGCGCGATATGAACAGTAGAGCGCAGGAATCATGTTGGTTTCACATAATGTTAAAAAGGAGATAAAAGGGGGGATACTGTCATGTCATAAGCTATTTGCTAGTTATGTGCAGAGTAAAGTTTTTAGGCCATTCACTAAGGATGACTTGTAATTGGACAAATGTGTTCAATTTAGGATGGATCGATTAATTGATTGCTATTAAGCTAGCAGGAAGTGGAATAATTCCAAATAGCTTTGTTTGGTTGCAGAAGTATTTACAATATGTTAGAATGGATGCAATTAGGTTAATGCCATTTTTGGTTCGAGTCAAATCAGCCTAGTGCAGTATGCTGGAAAAAAAGTTCTTGAGCCATACTTGGAAGGTAGTGAAAGTGTTGGATATAGCTAATGTGAAAGCATTTTATCCATGTTTATGAAGAATTAGATGGTTTTTTAATCTCTTTTCATTGGATTATGATAGAAATTAGCTCTTTGAGATAAAGTTCGGTTGTTCTTATAGATCAACATTACTTAGTGCTCGTCTCAATAAGTAAAATCAGTTAATTGCAGCTTTTTATAAGCTAAAAGTTGTTTTGCAGTGTTCTCAACTGATGGTGGCTTTGGTTTTTGATTTTATCTTATTCCAAGTTGAAATAGGTGGATTATAAGAAGTGGCCATTGAGGTGCTTTGTGATTGCATTTTGCTTTTCACTTGTCAGCTTTTTAATAATCGGCTTAAAAAAGCATAAATTGTTGAGAACAAGCCATGAATCATGTAGAACATGCTCTTATTAGGGAGTTGTAAAGAGGAAAAGTTGTAGTCAAGTGAAATTATTCAAAATGAGATTTGAAGGGGCAAAATTTGTAATTAACTAAAAATTCTATTTGAAACTCATATGTGTGATGTAAGCTGAGTGGAATTGATAAAGTTGGTGTACAATCATCTGCGATATAAGGCTATGATGCAAGGGCAACTGATTTGCTTAGTCCCAGTAAACTATGAAGGACCAAAACCTTTGAGAAGTTTGGTAATCAAGGACAATTTTTTTTTTTTTTTTTTTTTTATGTTTATCCCACATTGATTGTGGAAGTGGGCAGGTGTTAGGTTATAAGTGTGAGGAAAGCCTCACCCTTGAGCTAGCTTTTGGGATGGGAGATTCCAATAGCACCCAACACTATTGTATAGTAAACATTCCGGGAAATGCTTCCTAGATTTTTTGTCTAAGTTGAACTCTTCAGATGCTTGCTTAATTGAAGTTAGGTACTTGCAGAATAGGAGACTGTTTCTGGGGAGATTTGGTTGTATACAAGTTTGACATGCTCATTTTCCAAAAGTTTGAGATTAGCCAAACCATTGACTTTTGAACGAATGTGGCATCTAAAACCCCAGTGGTAAAGAAGATTTTGAGTTGTTTAGCCTCCTATTCAAATACTATGGCATTTTTGTTAATCTTCAAATTCAAAATAAAACTATGTCCATTGTCGGAAACCTATTTATGTGCATTCATAGAATTTCCAGTAGTAAGTATTATAGCTTGTTTTGATACTGAAACTTGATCTGCCATGTCTTTGATATGTTAATACCATAATTTCGGGAAACACGTTCATATGTCAAGAATAATGGAGCATGTCTTGCATTAGCTAAATAACCAATTTCATTTAAAATCCATGGTTTGGCTAACCGTGTAATTGATATATGATATTGATATGGTTAAAGTGGATAAAGTGAAATGTTGAAAGGCCTGATAGTCAAAGAATAAAGTGAATGAGCTTGGAAAACTCAATCAACTCGTTTGTGGAAAAAGAAATTCCATTTGGACCTATGTTGACATAAGATAATTTAATAGTAGGCATCTCAGATCATCCTAAGGTCATGCATACAGGATTAGATTTATCTTTTTTAAGGCATAGAGGACTATATGACTATCCAAGGTTGTGTGTTGTCTCGATTCAACTTTTAAGCAAGTTAAAGGTGTGGCATTGTAAATTAGATAGTCTAAATCTTGTGGAACCATATAACTTTTGGAATTGATAGTATCAAAGAGGATTTGAATTGCAGAAGTTGTGTGGTCTTTAGAAGTTATATACTGGTAATTAGATGGGTTCTTTTTTAAGGAGAAAGGTCATTACCTGAAGGCATCCCATGAAACAAAGAGATATATTCAATTGGGGACTTGTGTTTTCTTTTTCTTTTTTTTTGGGGGGGGGGTGGGGGGGTTTGATTATTGTTAAGAGAAATGCTTAAGCTTGCATTTGTTGTTGCTAATTCCAGATGGATGTATTGATTGTGGAATTACTGAAGAGGCTTTAAGTTTCTTATTTCATTTTATGACTTTCTTTGTCTTTGAATATTTTGATGGGTAACTCAATATCACTGGCTTGAAAATTCCTCTTTTTCACTTGGTTAGGATATCATGGTTTGGTGGACACATTTTAATGAAGATTTATATCCTGATAGAATTCCTGCTTTTCTCCGCATAAAAGTTTTGCTTCTTGTAATTGGCCAGTTGATTCATGTGTATTCACCTTAGCGGCCTAGTGGCATTGCAATAGTTTGTTATTTGTTGTAGATTATTTGAGCATATAAATGCTGTGTTATTCTTGTAGCTCTAAGATTGTTTCAGGGCAGACTGTTTCTGTATCTGGCATGGATCAATGAATTTGTAGTTTCTTTTCCCCAATGATATATTTGTTCTAACCTTACCTTTTTCCTGTTGCATGCTTATGTGAGAATGGATGATGCATTTTTAAAATTCAGATAATTGATAGATAAAGGTACAGTAAGCCGACAGTATAGTACCAGGGATGGAAAATGGCTTGCACTACATAGATGCCGATGTGAATCTATCCCTGGTCACGTGAGACTGGCTACCTGTTTGTTGAATTTCATATTTTTTTTACCATTTTGAAATTTGGATTCTTAACAGATAGAACAGTAAACAGACTGCAGAGTAATAGAAACAGAAAATGCCAAAATGGATTGCACTGTATAGATGCCAAATATAACTTGTGAGTCTTACACATATGAGAATCGTAAAGAAGAGATCTCGTGTATTCATTGGACAAGAATGAAATGTCTGGCCTTTCTCTACATATTTGCGTTTTTTATTAAACGTCTGATATAGCATTTTAGAACTTGAGCTTTTACATAGATCATGTAGTAGCAAGAGCCTTGTATGTGTGGGTTCTCCTGTTGTACACCATCAATTAAACAGGCTGCAAATGAATCATCTTTATTCTACGTCTTCAAGTGAACTATGGGGTAACCGCTTCTGCTGTGGACTGGAAATTGGTGCAACGCTCCATAATATTCTCTTGTTAGTATTGCAAATCCTGCAATTTTTGGAAAGAAAGTTTGTTTAGTCTTGAGATTGCAGATATGACCATTTAGCATGGAAAGATCTTGTCTAAGTCTTGCATGGATGCTCAATATTAGTGTGTAGACTTTTCTCTTGAATATATTGCAAAAGCTCA